CAACTCCACGATTCACTCACGGGTAATCAAGAGTCCACTTTACCAGGAATAAACAAACTAAAACATCCACTTATTTGCAAGAGGGAGGATATATAATAAAAATGGTGACGCTGGTTTGAACAGTGAAGCAATGGACGGTCATTCTACAATACACTTACTAAACCAAGCGAGAGGTATGACGCATTCATTCATCTCTCCAATTAACTTTCAGGATGCACTGCCGCACGATGCCCGACGTTTCGCTCCACATCGGACGTCACACTGAACAGCGAGCAGCACGATCCCGACAAACACATCGGAGAGCTCTGTAACAGAGCCGTGAAAACCTACGCAGTTCGGCGTTCATCTCCATTGGCAGCCCTGAGCCAGCAAGGAAAAATTAAACCTTCCTATAGCAGGGGCGGTTTCTCCACGAAGCAGCCGCCATGTCTTATTTATTATGAATAGACATTCACTTTAGACGAAGACATGGCACCGGATAATACATACTCAATCACTACATCTCCTCTATTCTCCGTAAACATCTACAAAAATGTTTTTATGAGTTATATCTTGTACCCACGGCCTATTTAAAGGTGGGTTGGGGGCCCCAAGCACTAGACCCCTAAGTGGAGCTGATGGTAGAGGCTCAAGTGGAAATGCTTCCATTTGCTGGGGAAGTGGCGGGGGGGGGGAAGCCGCTGATCTGGCTATATAAAACTCCTTGGGTGTCCTGTGCACCCTTGAAAGCGCTCCAAGTGCCACTGACTTGATCATCATCATCAACCATGATCAATCCGCTGCTGGAAGAAGGCCTCTTCAAGCCACCTAGAATCAGCATGATGAGCCAATTTCATAACTCCTCTCGGACGTGTTCCTTCCCTTGGCCATAACATTCATCTGGGTTCTATCCCCATGTCACTTACACAAAAGCCTTGCACCGTCCCTTCCCCTGCCGCGACACCGGCGGTACAAGCGCATGGATTTCTCCGGACACCACTTACGGCCCTGGCTCAGGAGTTGACCGTGCCACCTGCCACCTGCTCTTGCTGCAAATCTTCGGTCCGCGCGCCCCTGGTCACAGCTGCACTCCAACTGCCCACGCTGCTGGCTTTTATTATTTGAAACGCGCTAATAACACACCCGAGTGTGCAAGAATGCACACGCGTGTGCGTTTAGAACCCACGGAGAACACACGTGCGCACACAAGTTGCCTATAAAGTGTTTGTTTTTAATGCAGATAATCTCACTTTTAAAATAAAATCTTACTTCTTCAGACACCAACGCATATGGTTTGTGTGCTGGTGTTGGAGACATTTAACAGAACAGCTCACGACCGTAGCCTCGAACCAGAATTGTACGGAATGATTTATGACTAGTCCTGCGCATCTCATGGGCTCGTTGCAATGTTGAAACCACTATTCAATAGGCTCGGCTCACGCCGCAATGTTTGATATTATGTTGCACATCCACACTCCCTCATTCTGTTTTGTCATGTTATTATTTTTTCTCCCTGCATTTAGCCAGAGCGAGGGGGGTTCTAACCAACATTGCTCTCTTGCACTCTTGCGTGTCCCAGAGCACCATTGCTCAACAACAAAAACGTGTGGACGGAGGGGGGGGAATTGAAATAAATATTCACGCCTCTGTCTGCATCTGTCTCCCCATTCCCTTCTAACCCTTCACATGATCTCTGTCTCTGTCCCTCAATCTTACTTCCCTCCCACGATTTCTCTCTCCCTCTCTATCTTCCACTCTCTCCTCTCCATCTATTTTCCTCTGCTGCAAGTCACCTTCGTCAGCAAGATGCCACTGGTGCGAGGTGGACTTGACAGAGTCGGTGTGGTTAGGCTGCCGTTTAAACATCACATATCTCTGTTGTATCCTATTACAGCTTCCTGTCAAACAAAAAAATCATTTATATTCAAATACAAGCGTGGTGAAGTGTCCTTTTTCAAAATCAGAGCTTCAAATGATAGCCACTCAGATAAAATCCCAACATTCCCTTCTGCTGCAAAATGACCACGACAATAATCTATTTGATCACCTTTACAGGAAATAAACGCACACGATGTTTTACCATGTGGTAAAGACTGCAGAAGCTACTCAACGTTCAATCCCAACTTTGAAAAAAATCTTTAAATCTTAGATTGTTGCTCACATGGAATTTACCAAATTACAATCAATAGCCTGGGCTATGACGACTGCGATTCCATCAACGCTGGGCTCAACGTTGCCAATGCTTTCTGACAAGGTTTTGTAGACCGAGAGACACATTGCTTCTGCCAGACGGAAAGAAAATCCCTCAATTTCTGCAGTAATCTCACATTTCTGAGTGCCTGCTCATGTGGTAGTGATGTCAAAGTGAATGAGTACATTTAATGTGGCCATTAAGGCGTCAACATAAAATAGACCACAAAGAAACATCGTCACAGACTTCCACGGTCGACGTATTACAGCCCGTTATCAATCAACATTTTTACAACTTACACTTCATTAAGACTCTACAGAAATTGCATGCCGTATTCCGCGCGGCTCGACTTGGGTGTCTGACGCCACGACGACGCCAGATTCCTCCGCGTTCCACGCCGCCGGTGAGACGCCGCCGAGCGCCGAGCGCGGCGCATGCAACTCCCTGGGCGGGCCTCGCGACGATTCCCAAAAAAATAATATGAACAAAAAATAAAACCACCGGGCGCAGGTGTGGCGAGCCGTAAAGGAGGATTGTAATAAGTGCCGCTCTGAGCGTAGGAATAAGCTCGCGGGAAAATGTTCACCTTGTCCCCACAAGGAATTATATAGCGGGTTTGTGCAACAGTCACCAAAGTGTACAGTTGATTGTTGCGAATGTTAGATATTTCATGGGAAAAGGTGTTAGATATATATAAAGTAAAAAAAAAACTAAGCTAAACTATTTTTTTTATTTTACTTTGGTAAGGCCTACTGAGCTATATAGCTATTCTTCAGAAGCGTCCTGACCACAAATGATAGCTCAACGAAGTGGCTTATCATGTGGAAATGTATTGCAGCCAAATACTCTAAACGCATGTTTCAAAATGTAGAGTGGAAAACCGGAGGACCAGGAGAAAAATACAAGCGACCGTGGGGAGAACACGCAAACTCCAAATATACAACAGGCGTCAGGGTCGGGATCGAACCCACAACCTCCTGCATACCAGGCAAGGTATTTAACATCTCACCAGCTGTAGCTAATGGTGGCAATATAAGATGCTTTTGTAGGGGGTTTAATAGATGTTCCAGTCACATTTACTCCGCTATTTAGAGGGGAAATGTGTGGTTTTAATACTTGCTCAAATGGCTGAATTTAGCACGTATTAAATTTTGGATTAAATAGGCATCACCATAGGAAATGAGTTCCAAGTAGTTAAGCAGAAAAATACTTACCACGTGATGTTCATAATAAGGAGGTTTTGATATATGGCTTTTAAGTAAATGCACAAACACACGTAACACGAACGAGTATAGGAGTACATGTCCATAAACAATGCAACACATACGCGTGTGCTGTATAATGACATGAGGACAAACACACACTTTTTAGCAATAATGATTGCGAGTGCCTATTAAGGCAAGGTAAATGCAGCAATATTTATGGCGAAACAGGTGTTGTGGCCGAAACGTCGTGAGAATTTTTATTGTCTTATTTTATTATTTTATTCTCATTCTACGTGACTTTACTGAAAGATCCAGAAGGTGGGTCATTGCTTACACATGAAATCGCGTTTCTAGAAGTGTACATTTTATATGATCACCGTAATTTGGGGTGCCTCAAGCAATGGTTAACCCGTCTCTCCTGTGCTGACATTCATACCACAAGTCATCATTCTCGGATGAGTCCACCTAGGGGAGAGCAGGCTACGTTCAAACATCAAACTTCAATGGTCTACATGGGCAGGAGGTGAACCTGGATAATTGGAACAGGAGCACTATTCGCTAACTACTATGCTACCTTTCAATTGTTATTCAACAAGAGCTTTAGTTTGACCTACATAGGGGCCGTCCATAAATGACGTAACGCACCTGGGGGGGGGGGGGGGTCAGACATTTGTGACGATGTGTGACGAGGGGGGGAGGGGTTTCACAAATGTGACGTCACATCAAAATGCGCCAACTTTAAATAATGAAATAATTGTTATAACAACACTCCTACAACATCAGAGTGCAGTGCCACATTAAATACGCACTACAATGACAATAGTTTAAAGTGATTTGAAGCATGTTTTATTTTCAAAATGGAAATATGGTTTTGGGGGGGGGGGGGGCAGAGCTTTGTGACGTCATATCTGAGGGGGGGTCTGACTTTTTGTGACGCCGTGTGACGAGGGGGGGAGGGGGGTCAAAAATCAACCAAAATCGCGTGACGTCATTTATGGACGGCCCCATAGCATGCTGCTAAGGGGCACCTACGGAAAGATGGTGTGGCAGAGTACCGCACCTGGCCGCATGTGTACACGCAGTGATAATGTTTACATACCAGAGACTAATTTCAAACTGAGTGGATCTAGGAGAGGCCCGGTACCAACTCAGCTACCCGCCCGCCACTGACGTGAGCCGCGGCCCGGAATCGAACCCAAGATGCTGCTCTACCCACTGCGCCCTCACCCCCGATATTCGCGCGGGCACCCGCACACAAAAAGACAAAGATCCCCCGTATAGCCTGTAACAGACCTTTGGGGCAAGTGCTGTTAGCGAGCACCTATAAAGGCCGGCACGGCACACGAGGGGGTGGGTGGCCAACACCACGCCCGGCCGCCTTTGTCTCCCCAGTGGCGATGTTTACACGTCGTACCAGGTACTCATTTGAGGCTGAGTAGACCTAGGGGAGGCCCAGGACCGGTTCAGATAATCGTCACCGGCGTTGGCCGCGAGCGGGCAATCGAACCCGGGTGGCCAGGTTCGTGGCGCAGCGTAGCGCTAACCCGCTACACGACCGCTCCACCACAACACCCAACAACACCCAACACACAAACACACGCGCGCTTATATCATGCGCTACACACCCAGAGGTTGTCGTCGCGCTGGTACCGCTTCCAGTTGCTGCCCGTGTCGCTGTGCAGCAGCTGGTAACGCGCCACCCACTCGGACGAGCCGTAGCGGCCCTGCGTGGCCACGGCCGTGACCCGCGACCGGCCGCCCAGGTCGAGCTGGAGCCACGGGGAGGGGTCAGCGGGTGAGGGAGCCCAGCCGCCCGCACCTGCACCGCACATGCAGGGACAGTCAGCCAGAGGGCAACGTCAAAATACAAAGATTCCACCCCCCCCCCCGTGTATAGCCTTTGAAAGTATGTAGGGGCAAGTGCCGTGAGCGAGCACCTTTGAAAGCCGGTTTACGGCACACGAGGGGGTGGGTGGCCAGCACTATGCCCGGCTGCCTTTGTCTCCTTGGTGGTGAAGTGTACGCATCACACCAGGTACTCGTTTGAGGTCGAGTCGATCTAGGGGAGGCTCGGAATCGAGAATTGTCACTGGTATTGACTGTGATGCGGAAATCGAACTCGAGTCGCCGGGTTCGTAGCAGATTGCGGTAACCACTCCACTAGTATTCCGTGCACACAAAAACATTGCGTTCTCAAATCATCTTTATTTCATGAAGTGTCTTTCATGTTGAACTATCTCCAAGCACTGTATATACGAAAAACATGTATAAACAAATGAAATTAAAACTACTTACAAGTATAGATAAAATCCAATCTAAATACAGTAAAAAGCAATAATCATAAAACTAATGACAACTACACTCGCTATATCAATATGCAGAATTCAGATCTCAAGCAAATAATAATGAGTGCACTCACAGTATATGTACAATACAATCAGGCTACAGGAAAAGCAAAGGAATAAAAATACATTTTCAGGCTGGATTAAAAAAAAAGCGTTCCACAGTCTTGACGCGTAGCAGCAGCATGCAATGATCCCCCAGCATTCACCTCTTTGAGATTGGTATGGATAGAAATCTGGAGTCCAGGGAGCTTAATTTCGTATGCACATGCATAACATAGGCAAAGACAAAGATCCCCATCGAGCCTATAAGAGACAGTTGGGGAAAGTGCTGTTCACGAGCACCCGTGAAGGCCGGAATGGTACACGATGTAGTGGGTGGCCAAAACTACATCCGGCTGCCTTTGTATCCCCAATGATGATGTTTGCACACCACACCAGCTACTCATTTAAGGTTAAGTCAACCGAGGAGAAGCCCAGGACTGGTTCAGATATTTGCCACTGATATTGGTCGTGAACGGAAATTTAAGTCAGGTAGCTGGGTTCCTATCACAGTGCGCAAACCCCTGCACTACCGCTCCCCAGATAGACACACACAGACACATGGGCACACGGGTTCATTATTGTGCACCGATATATAATACACTTGCATGTACAAACACACACACAGCCAAAGCGTAAAATACACATAGACAAACACGTTGAGTCGGCAACAGGTGCTCATGTGTGGCACAGGTATCAGATATTGTTTTAAGTTTATTTTGTTTTACCAGGTAAGTACTCAACGAAATGTATATACATGGACACATACATATAGACACGCAGACACATTACAGCCCAGAAAGAGGCACCTACAGTGCATGTACATGCACGACAACACGCACCGTGAATGATAGTTATACACATAGACCTCTACATTCAACTCACTGAGATTATATTAACGCATCAGGCACTGACTTTCCACATAACCATCCATGAAAGCAGCCATTCATGATGAGGCCTATGGCGTGACATTACCTCACCATCACTGCACTGCAATGTATTCTAATGTGTTGGTTATACAGAATTTTCCCTGAAACCTAAACATAAGGGTGGTGTCATAGCTCTCAAGGAAAGTTAATAGCAGTGTTTTTAAAGATCTCTATGAAATAGAATGGCGATCGTCGGCAAGCTACACCAAATGCAGACGCTTGCCTCCTTTAGAGCCGAGCGTGTCCCAGGCACCAGTGATTTATTCATTTCATTTTACATTCTTTGGTGCTGCCATGCTAAATATCCTGCTTGTCGCCACCCGGCTAATGTCCGCCAGTGGAGTGTGGCTGTAGAATCTCTCGCCATGAATCGCAGGCAGATATCAAACGGCGCTGCCATCGTGAGATTTGCATCAGCACCAAATCCAATCGCAGTGCAGTAGCCCCCTGGTTAACAGTGGCACCGGCTAACGGTTTTTTCGGTTAACGTTTCGCTTCCCATAGGACCCCATGGTTTCGATTAACGTACATTTTTTTGGTTAACGGTAATGCTTATGCTTTCACGCGGGCGCCAATTTCGACCAATCCCAGTGCTCGGAAGTGGGGCTGAGCCATGCCCTCAACCAATCAGCGACGTCCATTTATGAACGTTCAGACCTCGACTGGGCTTTGTTTACATTGTACGTTTTCTGTTTTGGCAGTGGAAACAACTCCCTTGCAGACTCAGGGATTATTTACTTATTTTCCAACTTATAAGTGAATTCGATTTACAGTTATTTCGACGAACTGTGGTTTTCGTGTAATGGATTAAAAACGTTAAACGAGGGAATACAGTACCACCTTTTCGAAAAGTTTTCACACAGTTTCAAAGCGTATCCTAAAGCGTGAGATAGGAGGGGATAATGATGAAAATAAACGGCTCCATCTTAGTGACTCATCAACACCGAAAACACCTACAGCAAACCGTGAAAGATCAATGCAGCTTAGAGCATCAATTTTTAATGGTTCCACTTTTTTCACGTGAAATACGAAGTGGTTGTTGTGCATCCACGAACGTGTGATTATTTCTAAGACACGCGAGAGAGTAGACTCCTTCACGTGTGCGACTAATATTTCCCGCGGATTTACTGACCACTGGCCTGGAGACGTGAAATTATTAATAGAAGAGATGGTTCATTCAGCGAGTGCTTCATCACCGACCCATCGGATGGCATCCTCGGTGACCATGTTGTAGTACTCGTGGACCGCCGCTAGTCAGGGGGCAGTCATCAACAACACGGGGACATTGGTTTAAATCAGGGGTGGGGAACCTTTTTTTCTGCCAAGGGCCATTTGGATATTTATAACATCATTCGCGGGCCATACAAAATTATCAACTTAAAAATTAGCCTGTTTCATTTGGTCAAACGTTTAATTAAGTCACCCCTAATGTGATGGCTGGAACTTTTTCTCTTTGGTTAGGCGTGTGGTGATGTTAGCTGGTATTGATGATGTTAGCCGGTATTGATGATGTTAGCTGGTATTGATGATGTTAGCTGGTATTGATGATGTTAGCTGGTATTGATGATGTTAGCTGGTGTGTGATGTTAGCTGGTATTGATGATGTTAGCTGGTATTGATGATGTTAGCTGGTGTGTGATGTTAGCTGGTATTGATGATGTTAGCTGTGTGTGATGTTAGCTGGTATTGGTGATGTTAGCTGGTATTGATGATGTTAGCTGGTGTGTGATGTTAACTGGTGTGTGATGTTAGCTGGTATTGATGATGTTAGCTGGTATTGATGATGTTAGCTGGTATTGATGATGTTAGCTGGTGTGTGATGTTAGCTGGTATTGACGATGTTAGCTGGTGTGTGATGTTAGCTGGTATTGGTGATGTTAGCTGGTGTGTGATGTTAGCTGGTATTGATGACGTTAGCTGGTGTGTGATGTTAGCTGGTATTGATGTTAGCTGGTATTGATGATGTTAGCTGGTATTGATGATGCTAGCTGGTATTGATGATGTTAGCTGGTGTCTGATGTTAGCTGGTATTGATGATGTTAGCTGGTGTGTGATGTTAGCTGGTGTGTGATGTTAGCTGGTATTGATGATGTTAGCTGGTATTGATGATGTTAGCTGGTGTGTGATGTTAGCTGGTGTGTGATGTTAGCTGGTATTGATGATGTTAGCTGGTGTGTGATGTTAGCTGGTATTGATGATGTTAGCTGGTATTGATGATGTTAGCTGGTATTGGTGATGTTAGCTGGTATTGGTGATGTTAGCTGGTGTGTGATGTTAGCTGGTATTGATGATGTTAGCTGGTGTGTGATGTTAGCTGGTGTGTGATGTTAGCTGGTATTGATGATGTTAGCTGGTGTGTGATGTTAGCTGGTGTGTGATGTTAGATGGTATTGATGATGTTAGCTGGTGTGTGATGTTAGCTGGTATTGATGATGTTAGCTGGTATTGATGATGTTAGCTGGTATTGGTGATGTTAGCTGGTGTGTGATGTTAGCTGGTATTGATGATGTTAGCTGGTGTGTGATGTTAGCTGGTGTGTGATGTTAGCTGGTATTGATGATGTTAGCTGGTATTGATGATGTTAGCTGGTGTGTGATGTTAGCTGGTGTGTGATGTTAGCTGGTATTGATGATGTTAGCTGGTGTGTGATGTTAGCTGGTATTGATGATGTTAGCCGGTATTGATGATGTTAGCTGGTATTGGTGATGTTAGCTGGTGTGTGATGTTAGCTGGTATTGATGATGTTAGCTGGTATTGATGATGTTAGCTGGTGTGTGATGTTAGCTGGTATTGATGATGTTAGCTGGTGTGTGATGTTAGCTGGTATTGATCATGTTAGCTGGTATTGATGATGTTAGCTGATGTGTGATGTGAGCTGGTATTGATGATGTTAGCTGGTATTGGTGATGTTAGCTGGTGTGTGATGTTAGCTGGTATTGATGATGTTAGCTGGTGTGTGATGTTAGCTGGTATTGATCATGTTGCTACTCGCAACTGCTTTTCCAGGTTTGCTCCTAGATTTATTGAGTTTCGAGTCCCGCCTGCGGTTGCCTTGGCAGGGCCAGGACCAAATGATTTCGCGGGCCTTGTACGGCCCGCAGGCCAGACGTTCCCCACCCCTGGTTTAAATAGTCACAGCCGCAGTCTGGGTTGTCATGAAGGAATCAATGGCGGAGATTGGCTGCGCAGAGACCTTGCCCTGTCTGGAACCTGTTCAGCAAGGCCCACTAACGGCTTGGCAGGTTGAACTTAGGTGCACGGCTTTAGAATCCGCGATGAGGAACTGGAAAAGAGATGATTAATCTGGTGAAGATCCATGTCCGATTAAGAATAATTGAATTCGGAGCTTACACTAACAACTCTGCTGAAGTCCGCAAGGAGAGGTCTCGAGGTCACTTTGAAAGAATGACGGAACGTTAATTTAAAAGCGTGAAATAGGCACCAGCCATGCATCTTATTACAACAACCCATGTTTTTGAATTGCTGCAACATGCGCACAGGAAAAC